TTTTTTTGTTTTTCACAATTTTTTTTTTTTGAATTTTCTAACTCGAAAACTTGCTTTTAATTTTTAGCTCTTTGAATGGAATCTTTTCAAGCATAATGATCCTATACTATATCAATTCATTATAAGTAACTTAAATAGCCTTACTTAATCAATTAGTCAACTTTTTTCTCAGTGATAATAATTTCTTATCTCATTTAATACTTTTATATTATAATTAGCATTAATTAACAACGTACTTTTATAAACATTCCTGAAACAGGTGAACTTGTTTCTGAATCATTTGCTAACCGTCGTGCTACTTTAGATCGCTTCGATGGCAAATCATCGGAACAACGTGATGGAAGTCGTTTCCGTTCACGTATTGGTGTTACACAACTATCCGTTGGTAATTCAATTGGTGATGTCACCTATTATTTTATTAATTTTTGTTTCATTTATACTTCATATTTTACTAAATATTTGATGTATTCTAGTAAAATTCTTGAAGTTAAAATTACAGTGCATTTTTTTAATCTTTGAAGTACAAGAATTATTTTGAAATTAAAATAAATTCTTCAACTACAAGCTTTCACAAATTTAATTAGAAGTAGCTGAAATGCAAAAATTTGAACGACGAATTTTATTTATTAATTACTAAAATATTGTGAATTTCATAACTTTGGCTCTCCTCAGGCTAATATTTTCGTGAAAATGGGAGCAAAAATGACAAAATGAAGTGTTCGTTTTCAAATTTGAATTCCCTATTTGATTTATTCAAACTTTTAAAATAAAAAGCTTCTTCTGTTATGCTAAAGAATTATTTTGGTTAAAAGTTTTAAAGCTTTAATTATTTACAATTTAACTTTGAAATACATATTCAATAACGATAAACTTTTGATATTTTTAAATTTAGTGATAAAATCATGCACGATCTATTTAAATGTTTAGAGTGAAGAGTTCAAAATATCAACTAATAACGCTCTCTTTGTCACTTTATTCTGATCATTAATTATTACTTTATCGTACCTTGTTATTCAAACTACTATTCATAGTTAATCCAATTGTAGCCATTTGATTCAAAAATGAATTTAATAGGCCTGGTTGGCAAAACATTTGCAGTTGCATTAGTTGCAACGTTGTCGCATAATCGATCATTGGGCTTGTAAGACCATTAGCGGTAAAATGAAGATCTTGCAATCCTGCAGGCATCTTTGGCATCGTTATAGCCAATGTATTCCGTTCATTTGCAGCATCTGAGCCTGTTTCTGATGATGGCCTAAGGCCCAAAATATGTTGCACCAAGAAATCACTCATAGACATTTTATCAGAATTTTATAATTTTTACATATTAAATCAGCAGTAGATGTTTTAAATATGCATACTTCCAATCCCAATATTTAAAAGCATAATTGCAATAACATCCAATGCAATTCCAACTCCTGCAAAAATTTCTGACAAATGAAATTTCAAATTTTAAATGAAAAAGGAGTTAAAATTTAATGAAGCACAATAGTGGAATCAATTAAATCCATTTAACCATATGTGGTGTAGCTGAGCAGAACAAATAAAATAAGTGAAACTTCTGAAGGTATCTAAGGAGAACAAAAAAAAGAAATTTTAATTCTGATAAGAAAAAAGTATTTTATTACGCTGAAATAAATAGCATGTTGATGGAAAAAAGCAAGCGTAACATTTGAAAATATTATAAACGAAAATTGAAATAGTGTTAAAAAATAAAAGCTTATGCGCGCTGTTAATAAAAATAAATTTTTTATTTCAAAAAATTATAGATCAATCAATATTACCTATATTTAAGCATTAGATATTAAAAATTTTTTGTTTGATATAAATATAAAAATTAATTTCATTAGCAGCATGCATTAAAAAAAGAGAATAAATATCAAACGAAAAAGAAAATTGTAACCTTTTTTTTTTCATTTTGACATTAAAATATTTACTTGAAATTTCATGAGTTACCTTAAAATCTGATTAAATTATAACTTATCATTATCCACTTGTTAAATTGTAAATATTTCGCTAAGACTGCAATCCACACCGTATTCCGTTACCCATTTTTCCATTAGTAATTTCAGTGACAGTTTTGTTGGATGATGAAGGAAGAAATATTTATTTTGCTCCACCCAGTCAATTCAACCCACCAACAAGATTAACCCATCGTGTTTTCCACTTCCATCCCATATGCCTCGTCCAATCATTATTCAAATAATTTTACTTGAAGGCGGTTCAAATTTTCCATTCAAATTTCTTATAAATTAATTATCAAAAATAGAAAAAAGAGAAAATTCTCAATTTTTAGCATTTTTTCCCATGCATAATAATTATGCTAATGCTTCTAACGTATAAAAATTAAAATTGAAATTTAAGATTAAAAAAAATGAGAAAAAGATCAAAGGATTTTGAAAATCCGTTCAAAATTTTCCGATACCATCTGGATGGATTCATTTTACAAACCGTCTGTTTAATTGTTTAGGCAATTTGAAAAAAAAACGAGAAATGGATT